AAATTTGCAATTGTTGCTGCTATGGGAGAACCCATTGCTACTCCATATATCTGTGAATAGAACTTGTTTTCGTACTGGAAATATGTGGATTTTAAGCTCAATTCTACCGCCTCAATAAATTTTCTTTTCGGGTAATTTTGTGTGTTCTTTTATCTCTGCCCATTTATTTTTTATACAGCTTATTGAGTAATCTATTGAGATATTATCCGATGATTCTTTGGTATTTTTTGTTGTTTTATACAATCACAAAAACTCCAAGAGTCTTTAATGTAATATTGTGACTTTCCCAATACATTACTCAAAACTGCTGACAGATATTTAGATAATTGGTATGTTGGAGCATTTATGTTACTAACTATCGGTCGTAATGGAATGTTTTCCTTATGAAGCTTTGATTGTCCTGACTAATCACCTGTTAGGCCTAATTAATTTTAGAATGTTTTAAAGTGTTGCAATTGTAATGTATTTTAATGTATGATGTGATGAGGCAAAGTGTGTTTGTTTTTTATATTAATGGAATTTTTTACGTTATTTTAGAAAAACTGATGATGGTGGAAAAATACACCGAAACGTATTTTAATTGATAAATAAAGACAATAAATGACTGAAACCCAGGAATTAATTTTGATTTGGAATTGAAACACAGTGAGGAAAGTATATACTGCACTATTAACGTGAATTTTCTATTAATGAAGATAATTTAAAACATTCAGTAGGTATGCGACCTGGTAAGTTATCCGATAAGCAAATTTATTCCCGAAATGCAGGTTTTTTGAACCACCAAAAGCGAGCGAGGAATTTGAAATTGACCATTTTATTTATTATTTCTCCCGCTTCATTAAACGAGGTCTGTATTTAACCCTGCACCCACCAAATATTTCCCGTTGAACCATTAGTAGTTCAGAATGTCTCTTGAACAGATAGCTCTATTTGACGCCTACGATAATATTTCATTACAGCTGAGAAAAAGGAAGATTTCTTTCGAAACGCATTTGTTTAGAACTATTGTTGACCAGATTAACTTTACCTAAGTCTACTTTGTATTTGCAAAATTAATTACGCTCTTAATTTAGTATAATCGTTCAAAATTCCAAATCCCATCACTGTTCGGTCTGAAGGAGAGCAACTCCAAAAAAGTGCTAAATACGTTGGAGAACTCGAGGCTCAAGGTAATCGCTATGTGTGAAAATCAAACTGTAGCTAAAAAATCGATTGAAATATATTTACAAATGTTTTTACATTTACACTATTATGCACAGGATTTTAATGTTTACATTTGAAACATATCTTACAAATATCAGTTCTCTTGCTATTTCCATTCAGGTAGGTATAAGTAGGTATAGCAACCAAACTCCTCTTGATTCGAAATACCGTTTCAACCCAGTTTCATAAACTGGTTTCCAGTTTCACTTTGCCTTTAACATACATGTTCTTGATGATATCGGCTATTGGTATTTTGCCAACGTAGGCCTGAAAGAACAATGCGGTCATAACGTCTGGTGGGATCAGTTGGATTTTGGACAGCAACTGAAATATTTTGCTGATTCTGAGTTGATCGTCTGGTCGAGTTATGACCACATATTTGATCAGGCTAGTCTGAGCAGAACTGGCAAACGCTTGAACAAATTGCTCATCTTCCAGCTTTTTAGTAATGTCTCTACTCGTGTGACCGGCACGAAAAAAAGCTACCAGCCGCAGATAGAAGAACTCGTTGGGGTCTAAGCTGAGCTCTTTCGCTCGCAACACTAGTTCTTGGTACTCTTGCACGTGTTTCACGAACTCGGCCGCCTTTTCTGACTTAAATGCGTCACTTCGCTCGATAAGCACTGTAAGATCCATTACAGGAAGGTACTGAATAACTCCAAAAATAAACAGGTCCTTCCAGTTGCTCTCCAGCATCAGTAATTGGTCGTTTCTTGATAAGCTTGCAAAGTGTGGAATGGTTTCGGCCCACTTCAAGTCCAAGAAAAGTAAATTTGCTGCCGATTCGCATATTTCGTCAGGCGACATGGGCAGGGCAGCCGGAATCGACGGAGATCTCGCATGAAGAGATGGTGCAGCAACCTGAGGCAAAACATGTAGCTGTTGATCAGTTTTATATTGTTGAGGCGGATTCATTTTTTTACTAACTTCTTTTTGGGTATTTCGCCTCAAAAATTTTTCACTTTAAAAAAGACAGAATTTCCTCACGTCTTCTATTACAGATTGATAAATAGTGCTCCTATTTCGCAATAAGAACGAATTATTTATCAAAAAGTAATCAAGAACTGTCACCTAGAGGGCATCCTGCGACACCCTTAGGCTCAAGCTGTAAGAGAAACTTCCAATTAGTAGAGAAATTAATTTGAAAAATTACCTTGACGTTTCGATAGCTATTTTCTGCTACCGCTATCAAAAGAATCTAAATGAACCTAAAAAAGAGTATGTTAATAAATTGTGTGACAATAGTAGGATAATACAGTATATGAAAATTCGCTCTGACAATTCGTCTGTGCAAATTGTCAGTTATGTGACTTTGACTTAATCTCATTGTTTAAATTAATAAAG